GCTCTGGTGAACAATAAATGGGGAATGTGTTGGCAAATCAGTGCCACCAGCTTGGTTTGTTAGGAAGGGCTGCAGCACAGGAGAACAGCCGGACCCTCAGCGCTAGAAGCTCAGCAAGCTCCCCAAATCCTGAAGACACATGAATCTCCCCTAAGCTGCACCTAGCTTAAGCCAGGAATTTCCATGGGTTTTGCTAAGGTCTCACCTCTACAATGGTGCCAGTGTGACCATGCAGGCTGCTCCCCTCGCCCTGACACATTGCACAACACCATGCTCTATGCCTGCCTCCAGCCAGCTTCACACAGAGGAGAAGGAAGTAACAGTGCCTGTGTTGCTCACAACTGTAAGCAAACACATTTCCAAGAAAGTATTAGGCAGCTTTCATCTGAAGTTTACACACACACACACACACACAAAAGAAAAAGAAAAGAAAAAAAAAGAGAAGAAAAGAAAACCTTGGAAGAATTTTTCTTGGCGTGGAGCATTCTATGAAATTTGGATTTCAAGTGAAATGCTTCCAGGCAGGGACAGAACAGAGCTCTGTGCCCTGGGCCCTACCAACACCCTGGAATGTGACCAAGTGCTGCTCCTTCCCTTGAGCTCCTTCCTACAGGCACGAGTGGGTCCATGGCTGCAGCAAAGCAGTGGCAGCTTTCCTGATATGCAACACTGCAATTTATGCTGTAAACCGTTGCTCAGTTTTGGAGGCAAAAGGAGATAACACTCCTCTGGAAAAAAAAATATCTTTGCCCATCTAAATTCTCCCCATTACTGAGCAAATGGTTTTGCAACAGCAAATTTATTCCTCCGCGTCTCCGGTGCTCTTTTTTGTTTGAAACAGCCCCAAACAGATTGTGATTTTCTCTAACGGATTCACCATCTGGGAGATTTTTCATGCAGCTCCTTTCCTCAGGGGGAGCAAGTTACTCAGAGGGGGATTCCCAGCGGAGACGAGAGCAGGATGCAGAGGGATGGGTGGTTCATTTAATTAGCATGCATAATCCCGACGTCCTTACTCAGGCAGAACTCTCAGCAGGGCCAAGGAGAGGCCGATTTTGTCTTCACAGAGGAACCAGCTGAGGACTTTGCTATTTGTCTCTCGGTGTTACACATGGCATTTTCCACGTGAGGGAGCGTTGGCCCTTGCAGGCATTGGGGGCCGATTTACTGCAGCCCCACAGCTCCATCCCACAGCACTGCAGTCTCCTGCAGCGCAACGGGGGATGTGGGGAAGAGGCCCTGAGGACCCTCAGCTCAGAGCAGCGCTCAGCACAGCATGAGAACTGCCCAGCATCTTAAACCAAACACTTTTCACCGACTCATTAGTGGACAGAACTTTGCTTTGAAGTGACATTTTCTGGGCACGATGAGTGCTTTGAAGCGGGAAGACAAAATTAGCGCAGGGAGTTGGCAGGTGAAGAAATGAGAGGGGTTTTTTTGTGTTGCTTTTTTCTTTTTTTTCCCAGGCAGCAGAGCCGTCCAGGAGCTATGGAAACCTTGTTTGGCTAAATACAATCACGGAAAGTTAACAAGGCTTCATATTTTCCAGCAACTCTTCCCCAGAACAGCGTGCTATCTGCGTGTGCTAGAGCCTCCAGAACAGACAAACCATTCCTGGAAGTAAACGTGCCACGCTGCTCTCTGTGCCTGGTAATAGATGCTGTCTCCTACACCCCCAGGGGGAAAGAAGCAACACCAGCAAGGAATGAGAGCCCTGGGAGGAATCACAGCGAGCTGTTAGCTGGGCAAGGCCTTAAGGCAAAAGCTCAGTGCCTTTTTGAGAGAGGAGGAGCCGGGCTGCCCCCACATCAGAATGGTACCAGCATCACAGGACTGAGCTGCTGCTTTTTCTTCGTAAACAATCGATGCATCAACATGTTATAAAAAAGATATGTTTAATGTGGGTGGCACATTTCACACGGGATTTAGCAGCACCCCAAACACCAGCTGTTGGCAAGTTCTGAAGAGTTAACGAGGCGAAACTCCAGCACTTCAATGGCTAACAGGTCAAGCCACCTTGCCACTGCAAACCACTTCCAGCCCACACAGTGCAGATGGACAGCTGGCACCTGGTGGCTCTGGGTGGGCAGGGGTGCCTGGGGGGCTGCAAAGAGCATGGCAGAGCTGGCACGTGTCTGGGGGACACGCTCCCCCAAATCCATGTTTCCAGGTTTTTTTCTCATTACTCTTAACCCTGTTTTTAGCAACATTTAAAGCCCAAACGCGGCAAGAAAATAAACCCAACCACACGAAAGGGAACAAACTAGCTGCTCTCATTGTCCAGGATGGAATCAGTGTGAAGGAATGCCAAAAGGAATATTTCAGAAGATTTTAAAGTTACAGCCAGACAGCAAGACAGGAAGACAACATACTACAGAGCCGGATCTACCCCTTCCAGCATCGACTTTTGGAAAGAGCAGAGAAATTCCCAAACATAAAGGCTCCCAGTGGGGCACAGTTTGCAGGTCCCCACTTCACAGGATGTTTCTGGCAAGTGACAGTATTGGCCACTTGTTGGGCTCTTGAAAAACAGAAAGTCCATCTCCTGCCCCTGTTTTCTTATTTGTTGTATTCCAGCAAGTTGTTCCTGCCCCCCTTATTAAAAATGCCAAGTTTTTCAGTGAAAAGAAATGGGGAAAATAAAATAACAATTAAAAAAAAAAAGATACTCCATAGCAATGACCCAGCATTGCCAGCAGCCACATCTCTGACTGCTGCTTACCGTTATTTGCACGTGCTTAGCACTCCTCCTGCCCTGCTGCAGTTTGTGCTGGTAAGCAATTCAGGGAATCTCAGCTGCTTCAGAAAATATATTTTGGCAATGTAGTCCTGAAAGCTTAAAAAAAAAACACCCTCAAAAACACCAAATTTAAATTCTGAATCATTCCCAAGATCTTACTTATTCTGCGATCTCCTGGGGATGCTGTGAGGTTTAATTAGCTCTAGTTGGAAAATGCTCTGAAGAAGTGCAGTAAAGGTGCCAAATGCTGCTCCACTCACAGAGATCTAAAATGTTCAAATTATTGCATCGTAAAACAAATCATTTGAAAATTAATTCCTCTTCCTTGCCAGCATGACTTCAAAGGAACCTCATTTCCCCCACCAGGCCGGGAGCATCCAACTGCCCGAGCACTGCTTGGTGTCCGACCGCTGCTAACAGCCAAGACTGAGAGCATTTCCAACTTCACATTGCCTCCGAGGTCTCCTCAGTTATTTAATCTTCAAGTTGTACATTTCTGTGGGCAATCGCACTCATGATTCAGGGCAATCTGACTATACGTTAGGCTGTGCTTGTAAAGGAAAAATGGGGAATCCTCTGTCTTGTAAGCAACCTATCCCCAAGCTCTCTTGGCAAACACCTGCAGACTTGGCAAACGCTGCTTTGTGGTGAGTTGATGAGGATACCTACTTTTTCCTTCATGTGTTCTGTAGAAACTGAAGGCAGAGGGCAGATGGGCAGGCAGCACAACAAGGCACTGGGGTACAACAGAGCCTGTTGGTTGGACACTGCTGCAGGAGCAGGCAGCAGCCAGCACAGGCTGGGTGAGGAGCACTGCAGCACAAATCCCCCCTTCACCCATTCAAGTCACTCAAGGTAGAACAGGGTCCTACCACCACACCTGCAGCCTGTGCTGCTCCATCTACACAGGACAGCTGGCACCAGGGAGCTGCTGGGTGCCTCTTAGCACACAGCAGGCTGCTTGCTGGCAGCTGCAGCTCACATTTCCTACAGAAATTCTCCAGCATAAAGTCGCACAGTCCATACAACCTGAGCTGTAGCACCCCAGCTGTACTGGGCTGGGAATTACTGGGAACTGCCCCTACCTGCAGGCAGGCTGGGACCTGCAAGACATCAAGGCCCTGTGGACCACAGTATGCTCCCAGAACAGAGCTCTGGGGAGCTCCACAGTTATGAGAAAACTTCCAGAAACTGCAGTTTGTGGCATACATGATGCCAAGACTTTCTTGCAGAAACAGCCTTTGATTCCCACAAGGCTAATCTAAAGTCCACAACCACCACTGTCCATCATTTATTCAGCTCTATGTGTCCAGTTTGCATTATATTACACCAGTACTGTAATGGTTGATAATGAGATAATTTCTGGTTTTGCTTCAGCTTCAGACAGAAGCTTTCCTATTTTGCATCTGTAAAGCTACAAATCAGAGTACGTGAGCGAAAGGCTTCAACATGCACACAAATACAGGCTGAAGCACTAAGTGTTCTCTCCTCTGTGCTCACTGATTTTGCTCTCAATCCACTCGCATCTCAAACTAAAGACAATCGGGGAATGGCCATGTATTTCCAGTCTTGCTTATTTCATTGCAATTGACTCCAGCAATTTCAGGGGAGAAAGGGAAAAGGATCAAAATAAAACTTAGGCCAAGATCTGGTCTGCTTAACTGCCTGCAAAGGAACGATCCAAAATCTCAGATCAGGACCAGTGACACCAAGCTTAGCGCTTAATTCTCTTCTTCAGCTGTGAGGAAAGTTGTCCAGTGACACCACTCACACTGCAGCAAGGATAGGAGAGAAAGCTGTCTGTAACTGTGTGGAACAACCACTGCCCTTCAGACTGCACCCTCAAGCTCTCCCAGGTCAGACAGCCTCATCTCATTGCTGTCCATAAGACAGAAGTGCTTCCATGAGAAAACTGGAACCAAGCAACTCAGGGAAGAGCGGGACCAAACACCAACATCTAAACCACTGCAATGGGTTTCCATAATCACTGCAAAATGATAACAATTTTGCTATGACTGGGAATTTCAAGACATTTTCATGACACTGAACATTGCTCCCATCACTCCAATGGATTTGTTCTGCTGGGGTAGGACTCAATTACTTGGCATTAATTGCCTGAAAAGGACAAAGCCATTCAAAGCTATATAATCACATTAAAGTGGACAACATGATACAGGTGGGTTGAATGCAAGCCTTGCATTAATCTAAGAAATAGTATTAAGAAAAAAAAAGACAACAAAACCAAAAGCACAACAGTCTGTTGAATTTGGCCCCATATTCTTAGTTGGGAATACGCAAAATGCAAACTACATAGAGAAAGGACAGCACTGGTGTGGTAGAATACATATTACATGCCCGAGATACGAAGGAATGTTTTCAGAAAAAGGGTAAGGACTTTTTTCTCAGAGTGTGGGGCACGAGATTTTCTAGATTCTGTGCTCCAGAAAATGCACTGCCTTTTCCATGCCTACAGGAATACAGGAACAGCAGCAAGGCAGGCTCCTATGCACTAAAAGAAATGGATATTAACTTGCACTATGCAAAGAATGAACACCCAATCAAGTGTTGCACTTTGATCATTAAGATGGCACCTTAACCCTTACAAAAAAAATAATACAAATTCCAGAGACAAGTACATTAATTTATCAATAAGAAGTAGCACTGATAAATAAATTAATTTATATATAAAAAAAGAAAAGGGAATATTGACAAATTCGGGGATGGAAGAAAAGTCACCTTCTTAGCCCACATGCGCTTATTTTTATTTACATATCCACAAATACCATGAAGCACCATCCCAGCCCCCCCACTAGCAGCATGGTCACATGAATTCCATAGATGAGCAGTTCATTCATGAGGCTGAAGTCCACTCGCCTTCGCCCCAGTAAGAGGAGGATGATGGAGAGTTTGTACTGGAAACGCAGAAAGATCCGGATGCCAAGGTACTGAAGGCAAAACAAGATAGAGAGTGCCACCCAGAGGATGGAGGTAAACAGGCTGCAGCTGAAGTACAGCAGGAAACGAATGAATCCGTACATCCATCGGGATTTGAGATAGATGTCAAAGTTGTTGTACTTGGTACGCACCAGGTGCGTGGTTCGCACCGGGCCGCAGGCTGAGTGCAGGCAGGTCGTGTGGGGGCCGTGGAACGAACGGACCCGGCGGGGGATGGGGATTACAGGCATCAGGCACCCCACCGGTCACCGAGTCCCAGTGCAGGACTTACAGGGCACATATCAAACGTCAGCCATTAACACGGAACGGCCCCGGCAGCCTGGGAACGCTAAGGGTTTGCTGAGTCGCCAGGATGGAAGAGACCTGCAGGAAGGCAGAGAAGGAAGACAACGTTGAAGCAGCCCCAGCAGGAGGGCACGCAGCAGGGCTGGCACTCCCCAGCCTGGCAGTCAGATACAACTCTGCCTGCAGTTTACCCAGGCCAACGTGCAGAAATAGAATCGTTTCCACCATCACCAAGTCAGATCCCCAGAAGCAATGCAACCAGTAGCATCCGAGCGGCAGCGCAAGTTTCAACTTGCTACAAGTTTTACAGTGCTGCTAAAGGAAGGAGGAAAGCTTCATTCAGGGATTATGGTGGCTAATTCACAGGCCTTTCTTAATCAAACAGCAGCCCCCCAACAGTCCACCCATGCAAAAGTCATATTAATGCATGTGTTTGGATCTTTGCAGCTGTTTTGCCTTTACAAATCGATCTCCAAACGCTTTTCCAAGTGAATTTTACAGCCCAGGCACAGTGCTGATCACACATCTCTGCTCACGCCAGAACCTGGCAAAGCTTCACCAACTAAACTGAAAATAATGGAAGGTCTCACAAGAACAATGAAGCAATCATGTTTTTCACACCCCACAGGATGTACCTCCCCCTGCTTGGATGAGCCCTGTGGTCTCGCTGTCATTGCATCCAATGGCAAGGCAGCATTTCAAAGATAGCAAACAGTTTATTTCTCCTTTTGTGACCTGCAGAGATAAATATCTCAATCTCGTGGAGTGTTTAGGATTTATAATCTCAACATCCTTCGCATACTGCTGTTATCAGAGTGATGAGCAGCAGCCCATTAGCTGCTCTCTGCTTCACCCCAGGCTCACGGTGTGCCAAATTCCGGGAATTATGAAATAACAATACATGCATCAGATCATGCTGAAAACAACAGGGACTTCCCAGCCTCCTCACACGCCCAGGCATTCAGATTCTTGCTGAACGTGAGATCCTATGACTGTTAAAATTAAAATCAGAGTAACTTAGAAGTTACTTCAGTAATTTTTACTGGCCCCAGGTTCCAATTCTTTTCCCTTTGTTGCAGAAATCTGTTGGCTCTATATGAATTGCACTGATAAAGAGGAAAGTGAGTCAACGTGTGAATAAAGAATTTTGGAAATTGAGGTCTGTTCTCAAATATCAAAGATATTCTTGTAGTTTCAAGTGCCTCTCTGCCATAATTTCCTGCCTGTAAAAAGGAAACGCTAAATAGCTCAGAAGTGTGTTAGAAGGTATTTTGCAAGGCACATGAAGTGGATAGATGCTAATCTGACACTGCTTCAAAAAACAACAGGTTTTTTGTGCCTGGAGCATGCAACTGAACAGCACAAACACAACAACAGCTCTCAGCGAGACCACACCTGTGTAACAGAGAACAAACCTCACTTGCATAAGCAACAGTTTGCTCTGGGGTTAACAGCAGGCTGACTCCATGTCTGGTTTCTGTCTTAAAAGAGGAGTTTTGGTTATCTCTGATAAAACCTTCAACAGGTGAATGTAGGAGACCTCAAACAGCTCAGCTGCAGCAACTCAGGCCTTCTGAACAGCAGCAACTCACTCTCATTTACCGTGCCCACCACATAAACAAACTCTGTCAGGTTGTTGTCCTCAGATAAACACCAAATACCAACACTATCGCAGCCAAAAGCAGAGGGGTGTTGCACAAACAAGAAACTTTCAGAAACGTTACATTGTAAATGATGCTGTCATCCACCCAGCAGAAGGTCGGAAGTTCGCTGCCGTTTCTGGGTGCCACTTAATTCTTGTAACGAAAGAGTGAAGTTCTCCTGTGACACCTGGCCTCCTAGGAAGAGTAAAAGAAATCGCTAAGGTACTTCAGACTCACAACATTCTAGACATGAATTGATCTAAAAGATAAAAGGAGGGATTAGTTTTCAGTGTGCTCATTTTGAGTGTTAGGAAGTTCAGAACTACAAGGCTTCTCCCCAGATATGTTTAAACCCATCAAGATTTTAAGAAGGCTCACATGCTCAGTAATTTACGCAGCACAGCTCACTGATACATGCTGAAAAAAATCACCTAATTGCACGCAGAGCCAGAAGCACAGGCAAGGACGGGAGAATGAGGGCAGAATTACAGGTAACGAGCTCAGGTCTGTCACTTCCTTTGTCACGGAAGCTGCTCCGGTATGAAACAACACAGTGCACACACACTGCCAGCATACAGAAACAGAATACATAGAAGCAGGCTCAATCTACGCGGAAGCGATGCATCCACACAGCTCGGCACCATCTCCCGGGCCTGCTGGAAGGCACAGCGCTGCGAGGCCGGGCACGCAGCTACCTCGGCCCCAGCCGTGCTGCCGTCACCCCGACAACGCGGGATGCCGAAGCGCCGCCGGCCGGTGGGCTTCAGCTTCAGCCCGCCTCCCTCCGAGGGCTACCAGCAAGGTGAGGGCCAATGACAAATAAAGGTGAGCGCCGACCGAGGAGCGCCAGAAGGAGGAGAAACCCAAACTCCTCCTCCATCGCACCCAGCCCGCACCGCTCGGGAAGGGGCCGCGCTCCGAGCCCCGAGCCCGCCGCACCGGGGCGCGGGCCGCCGCTCGGGCCTCCCTCGGCCCCCGGCCCACCCTCAGAGCGCGGCGAGGCCCCGGCGGACGGCAGCGGCCGCAGCGGCGGAATGAGGCCCTGCCCGCCGCCGCCTCTCCCCGCCCCGGGGCGCCGCCCCGCGCTCACCGTCCTGCCCATGGTCTTTCGTCGGGCGGCGGCCGCCGAAGCCTGGCGTCCCGGGCCCGGGCTGAAGGAAGGCCCGGGCCTACGGGCGGGCGCCGCACCGCGCATGTGCAGGGAGCGGCGGCGCTCCGGTTCCGGCCGGTGGCGGCGGCGGCGGCGGCGGGAAGGGAGCGGCCGGGGCGGCGCGCGGTGATGGCGTCATCACACCGCGCCACGGCCGCCGGAAGCGGGAGGGCGCCGCGTCGCTCGGGCACCGCGCGTGGGGTGGTGGGGGGGTGGGGTGGCTTCGGGGCGCTGGGCGGCACCGCCGGGCCTCGGGGCGGGGAGAGCGCGGCGGGTCTGGCTGCCCGCGTCGGTACGGAGCTGCCGTTCCTGTTCTGCCGTCCGTAGGGCCGATGGCGCCTCGTGGAGCCGCTCGGAGGCGGCGGGCCCGTGTTGCTGAGCGAGGCGAAGTGACAAAAGCCGCTTCTGAAGGTGAATCCGGCCTTCAGCGCTCACCGGGCGGTGCTCCGCAGGGCGGCTCGGCCCGGAGCCGCTCGCTTATCGCGGCTCACCCGGCTCTGGGCTGGGCTGAGTCCACGAGGTGCAGGAACAGCCGCGGTAGGGATATCTGGGGATTGTGAATCGGTGATAATAAATAACCTGCAACAAGAACGGGGACGAGGTTTCTCAGAGTCACCTTTCAGGGCCCAGAGTGAGGCTTTGTGGTCACGTGTGAGATCCCAGTGTGCGACACGCACCACAACGAGGGCTTCTGGGCGGCCGAAAAGACATCAAAAGTTCCTTGAACACAAACAGGAGGAGCCCATTTAAGAACCAACATAATGAGACAGAAATGTTCTCCCCGCTGTTTCCTCTTAGATTTAATTAGGGATTACTTTCTGTGATGGAAAGAATACAAAACTTTTTTTTTATTGGCCCCTTGCCCCGCTTGCTCTCTAGGCATTACCACAGTGGAAAAACATTAAATAATCATAACTCAAGCCATCTGCCAATAACAAGACATGCTGCACAGCTCAGGCGGTTGAAGGCACCCGGCCAAATCCCTCCTTGCACGCCAACCGTCTGCAATGTGCTCCCCCTGCTCCCCCAGAGCATTTTTGTTCTGCAAACACAATGAGGGGCCCGGAGGCAGGGGATGAACATCAAGGGAGAATTACATCCTAACAAATTGCCCTTTCTGCTCTCCCACGTACTTTCTGGTGGGAGGGAGAAGGGGAGGTGCGAAGCTGATGCGTTTTCCCAATAGCATGAAATGGGAACATCTGTTTGGTGACTGAGATTAGCGTGAGAGCCACGTCTCATTTATTTTCCTCTACCGTTGCCTGTAACAGGGAGCCAAAGATGGGAATTACAGCCCAAGAAACAGCATTATGAGGGTACTTTGGTCTCACTGGCTCGGAGAAAGATGGGGATGCTGCTGAATGCAAGTACTGCAAAGAGGGGGCCCTGGTAACCTGCAGAAATCCCCCCAGGTAGACAAAGCCTTCCACGGCCTTCAGCAGCACTCAAACACCTGCACAGCACAACCCCAGCATGTGTGCACAGGGGTGGTGACAGCTCAGCGTCAGTGCCAAGACCACCCCTTTTCATTTCTCAGGTCAGGATGACAAAAAGCAAGGCAGCAGTACTCAGTTTTCAGCCTGAAATACGTTGACCTGCTTAAATGAATACATCTTCATAAAAAATACGCAGTCCTTGGGGCAGGCATGAATTGAAGCTTTGACATTCAAAGAGGTAAAAGTCTGTGCTTCCTCCCAAAGAGAACCCGCCCCCAGCACTCCAGCAGGGCTCTGGGTTGTATTTCTTTCCCATGCTAATTTTACTAAAGACACAACTCATATTCCCGTTGATTGAACAGTTTTGTGTTGACAGCATTGAAGATTTGTGATGAAACTTATCATCAGCACCGAGAGCGGGCCATTAGTACCAGTCACAGTGGCTAGCTGCTGCTGATATATTTTATGGCACCCTCCAAAGACAAACATACACATTTATATGTCACTTGTTGCAATATAAATGCTAACTTGTACTTCTTTCAAAACTTTTAATGAATTGTATACATTTCATGAGATTTACAGTGTGAACCAAACTGCTCAAAACATTCCTTTAAACATATTTGTCACTTTGGCAACAGAACAACAAAAATCTGGAAGGTATTGTGTTTAGAAATAAATCACAAATATATGCATCCTAAAGGAGTTTATTTTGGTCATTAATAGTTGATGCTCCCCCCCCCCCCTCCCAGCTCAGGATTTAAAGTTAAATTATGCAAAATCAAAAACAAACCTTATAATACTTAATCAAACATGCATAAAGCTGTCAGGACCAAATAAATTCTCTCAATTAACTTGCTTCAGATTGTGATTGCATTTACTAATTTAATCAACACTAGAATAATTTGGAGAGCGGGTAGTGATAAATTGCCGTGGTGCTGCGCATGAAGAGCCGCCAATGCAGCGTGTGCTGAGACAGGAATGCAGGAAGTGCTTGCTGGGCTGGGGGCAAGATGTCGTAGCAGCTGAGTTGTCACAGTCATTTTGCAACACAAATGTCCTGCTCCCATTTTTCTGGGGTGGAACACAAATTAGTGTTCGCCCATGGAATCATTCTCCTTCCAATCTGGGATGAGTTTGGAAGTGAAGCATTTCAGTGCAGGCATTGGCTCCACCTTTTTTGCTCAGTTTGTGAATGAGACCTTTAGCTCTCTTTAGCTCTGAATGCAGCTGCAGCTTCCTGTCCTGCTCTTCAGCTCCAATGCACTCCTGGAGCTGGAGTGTCATGCTAAGATGTCCTTCAGCTCTGTCCTTTTGCACTTAGAATGAGGCTGCTCTTACAATAAAATGCATCTGACCTCTGTCCAGGAAAAGCTTTCAGTACTATTACTTGTGGAGGGCTAAACATCTGATTTTTGCAAGCATAAGCAAGGTTTTATGGAGAGGTTCTTTTACAGGTTGACGTGAAGAAAGCTGTGAAGTATTCAACCCTGTGAAGTACCTGGATCTCCAAAAATCAAATCCAAAAATCCTTATCTGGTCCATTACTTTTCTACATCTGTTTCACAAAACATAACAACGTTCATATGGTGGCTGGGGGAATAAACTCATTGCGTTGCTCTTTCTCTTCCTCTTCCCCCCTTCTCTGCAAAATAAACCTCACAGAGGACAGCTTATCATTTTTGTCACCTTTTATTTGAAACAGAGGTGGTGCTGTATAGAAGCATAGCTCTGATGCCATCTGGTCAGCAGCAGAAATAAGTGGATACTAACCTGGGTGTGCCGAAAATGGATCCAGTATACAGCTCACAATTTTCCCTCAGCAACCCAGAAACAACTGCTTGCACAGCGACTCCATAGCCTTAGGAAGGTCTTAGAGCCATAATTCCAGATCCTAAAGACAATGAACGTGTTGATGTGAGATTTTGTAAGCTAGCATTCATTGCTGCTTACCACTCGTATCTAAAATCACCATTCCAAACCAGCAGCACCTGTACAAACTCCTGTGGGCTTTGCTGAAGCTCTCTGTAAAGCTAAAATGTAACAAATTGAGGAATTAATCCTTTCCTTTTCCTTGAAGGAGATTTAGGGTCAAGTCTCAACCTTAAATTTTAAATGCAATCGATTTACCCAACAAATCTACACTGCAAAAGCTTGTGAAATAATTTTTCCTTATTACTCCATTCCAGTTCTCATCTCTTAGCTTAAATGTCAGCTTTAATCAGGTTGAAGAGATTTGCATGTGGTAAACAATAATGCAATAGATTAGACTAATCAAATCAAATTCCATGTAGCAGAAAGCAGAACTAATTCCCACTCCTGCAGTGGTTCTGTATCAGCTCCAAGGCCCTGCAGCTCTCCCTGCAAATCAGCAGGGCTGTGAGGCGCCCGCCTCAGCTCGCGGGGCTCTTTGAGCTGCAGCAGTGCTGTGAGCAGAGGGATGAAGCGCTGCCCTGCGCCTCAGGAGATGAAGCAGTGGTTGTGTGAGATGCTGGAGTCGCAGCAGGAGCCAGCTGCTCACACGTGGAGGGGGAGAAGCCGTCTGTAAAACAAATGAAAATGGAGCTAGCTGCTTTGTGTGGACAGGACTCCTGCCAGCGCTTGTTGCTGCATCGCTCCGGGTAGCTCTGAGCTGGCTGATGTCAGAAACAGCCCAGCACGCATAAAGCTCTCATGGAGAAGTGTCCTTACTGCGTCCTGTTCACTTTTGGAAAGAGCAGGCATGTGGGACAGGTGGAGAGAGATGGAGAGGGCAGGGACATTCTCCACTTGCCCAAGTTGTGTTTCCCCAGCTCCCCCCACACCCTCAGCCCTCCTCTGGGAATCAGTGGCACCATCCACTGCACATCAGCTAAGTGCCAAGTTTAGAGACAGCATTCATTTTCCTGAGATTCACAAAAAGCAGCTTTGCCACCATTTCTTCTGCCCAGTTACAGAGCATCACTCAGTGCCCGAAGCCACCATAGCATCTCCCTCAGCACCAAGGGGTTCGCTGTGTCAGAATTCCTCCTTTGCATTGGGGTGCGTGGAAGGCATCGATGCAATTTTTCCTTTCTTTCTTTCCTCTTTCCCTCGTTGCATTTCTCAGACCAGCAGGT